TCATTAGCTGGTATATCTTTAATTTCCAATAAACACAGTAATTAGGCGGGCTATCCGCAGAGACAGGCGCTGGCAGGGCTGTTACTGCTGCCGTGGTAACAGCTGTAACCGAATCTGAAGCGGCCTAACTCCTAGCCGAGGAAGACTGGCAGCTTAACCAAATCCTGCTGCACAGTGGGAAGGGCCTCAATTCAATTATATGAAAATGAAGCCCACCAATGATATCCGCGAGGGCCGGTGGATGAAAAGTGAAGGAAAAGTGGTATTGTATGCATGCGTGGTGGAGATAGGCGCTGACCAATATGATTCTGGCAACAAACAAATCAAAAAGTAATATAAATGTAGACATTTTTCTGCTCTAATCTGCCTTCAAAACTCTTTCTGCTTTCAATTTTCAAAAGTTCTACCAAGGAAACGAAATTGCATATGTTTAAAGAAAAGTCAGCCTCCTCAGATACATCCTCGGTACAAAGGCCAGGCTTAATCCTACACATTATCGTCAAAGGACTCGGCACGTACAAAGCCGAAATTTACCATCATGACCTTTCAGTTCTGTGCTAAGCCTTGCGCTATCCGACTTTTGCAGACTCGCTTTTGTGTACCGCTTCTATAGTCATCAGAGGATTGCGTGATTTGAAATGTGCAGGATAAAAGAACAGCGTGAAGAATAAAGACAGGGCCTAGACAGCAAAGAGAAACAATGATGAGACAAAGCATTTAGGAATCTCCTCTTTTCTACCACTGAATGTACAGATCAGAGCCGAGGTAAGAGAAAGGATAATGGAGTACAACAGTGTCTCGGCTGTCTTTTTTTGGATGCTTAAGCAACTCATGAATTGTAAAAAAAAATGTACATGGTAAACAAGGTAGTCAAACGTATATGCCCTGGAAGCATCTGAAAAGCAGTATTTTTTTTTGTTTTAGTTCTACAAAGCACAAGCTATTTTATTTAGTAGTGATCAGGGCCTTTATTTACCAGAAAGTATCAGCCCTGAATTAATTATGAAGCCACATGTCTAATTCACTTCAGTCCACGTTCTGCCTCACCCCCTGTGCTCAGTGTTGCACCAAATGGTGTGCAAATGGAAACATTTTGAACGGACTTTTACACATCCCCAGTATGTATTGAGTGCTTGATTACTTTTAATGGTAATTGTTCAAAATAGTAACTGTGGAATATGTGTTCTTGCTCTTGCACAAACATTATAACTTGCCATACGCTTGACTTGTTGGCGGTATTGTTGGTATCACCTGGAATGATTCATTGCATATTCATTCAGCTGTTACACACAATCAAAATGTGAAAAATACAATCCACATTTTTTTTCAAACTCGTATTAGAAAGTTTAAACCTTCACTGAGGAACATTTAGGCTGACAGCACTTACAACTTTTTTATTAAAGACACACCAATTATAATTTTTAAATATTAAAAAAAGACATTTAGGATCTTAAATAGAGCCAACTTCTCTGAGCTTTTGAACATTGACTGTAGAGATCTATTCCGGATTTATTGTGTGTTCCAATACTTCTTTTTCCACTATACCGTGATATTCCAAAATACCATGTAATAATCTGCAGTCAAAGGATAGGATCCATGTCGAAATGAAACCATTTGTATAGATCTAAGAATTCAAATATCCTCATTATTACCCCAGCCCTTGCCTGTTCTTCAACCCCATGGTCTTCCATCTCCCCAGTGTATGCCCTCAGACCAAGGCTTTAGAAAGGTCAGAGCTCACTGGTTGGTCCCTGACAGCCCGGCTCCATACCATCCGCTTCCATGGAGGTTATAGCTGAGCCTTGAAGCAGCCCTGCATGCTTCCCTGTGGGTGGCCTAAAAACCCTGAGCCCAGCCTGGTCTCTCAGCATGTCAAATCCATAATGTCAGACATCTCCATATACCCAGTAATCAGCTGATCAACTGGGACCATGTGATTAGCAACTGAGGCTCACCAGTTCTGTTCAGACTTTGCACTGGAGAACAATAAGAGTTGACATCTCCATCTGCTGCCATGAATTACTGCTGCTGCTCTGCCTTCGACTCCCTCTCATCCAGACAGAAGAGTGACTGACCACCTGTCCCACTTTTGTTTAACCCAAACTGCCATTAAAGGGGACGTGTTGTTCAATATTGTAACCATGTTATACTTTTTTTTCATTTGAAAACCCTTCACACTGTGCTGCAATCCATTACATACAAATTCCACCCAATGTATGCTTTGGCTGACATTCCATAAGGATACGTATATGGGGCAATGAAAGTGGGCAAAATAAGGGCTACAAAAAATAAAAAGTGAAACCAAGAGGAGGTTGAAATGTATCATGTGTACAGTACTGTAGGGTGTAACATTACACTTGATAGTGGCTAGTGAGTAGACAAACCTAATACTTTACTTTTGAGAGGCATGTTGTTATGGTAAGCTTCCTTTCACTTTCATTACTGGAGTGTCTGCAATGGTGTTACCAGCCTGACTTCACGGCCTATTTTTAGTCATCGTAATGTGTTCTATTGGTGGCGTTGGATCAGATGAAGCAGAGAAGGGACGGTCAGTCTGGTATGCACTAAACAAAACAGTACCTTCGAAAAGTCGTACCTCATGAATTGCACATGTTGCCTTGTTACGACCACAAACAAAAAGATATTATATTGTTCGTCACAATTGTGACGTTAAAAAAAAGTGACTTGTTACTTTTTTTTATCCTCCGTGGTGCAAATAAATACAGAGTGAAAGGTAACGTTACAAGTGAATCGGAGGAAAGAAAAACAGGTTTCAGGTCAGCTAGTGTTTCAGTCTCTCTTACTTACAAATGGTCATGAAAGTACCCAATTTGTATATTTTGCACTCAGTCAGAAGAATAATATTCTGTAAGAGGCAATAGGGGTGGCTATTGGCTAACCTTCTAGTTCAACTTGATCTTCGGGTGAACATATGGCCAGAGAGAGAAGTGAGAGCAAAGTCTCTGCAGGCAGGATTAAGGAACGCAGTAACAGGCTGTGAGGGAGTAGCGATGGGGGCACTTTGGCTGGAGCACCACGTAATCTACCCAGCAAGCCAAGCACAGATGCTGGGCCTCGTAGGGAGGCTCAGTCCTCGTTAAGGCTCCATTACAGAGGAGCCCTGCTTAAAGAAACACCACTGCCAAGAGACAATTTGCAAATGCCTTTGCCCTTCTGTTTGATTTAATATAGAATATGCTTTAATATTTGTCTTACCTTAAAAATCATCTCTGGATACATTGAAACCTGGACACAATATAGGTGCACAGTATGCAATGGTTTTGATCTATCATTTAACATGTATTTGTATCCGTACAAAAAGTAACACAACATGCGTCACAATTCATGAAAATATTGATCAAACAACCCAACACACCCACCTCAAACAACAGACCCCCTACATTCTTTCACACTTACACTCACACACCCCAAAATGATCATAAATAAATCATAGAAATGTTGGTAAATTTGCCAAATCATCCTACAAACCATTCTGTTGTTTTCATCTAAATAATGCTAGAGGCTAACTAACCATAAAACCTTAAAATGCTCTATAATCGTAAGTTAGTGGGTATGTTTTCAAAATGTGTTTTTTTTTATATATATAGAAAAAGTTGAATTATGACAGGATATAAAACTTTATGAAAGTAGCTAACTCATATACGCTCAAACTAACACTGTGTCAGAGTTCCCCATAGATTAATAGGAACTATGTTTGTTCTTTTTCTCATGAGGTATATTTTTTTCATTTTTACTTGAAATGGACAATGTGAATTACAGCTGATTAGCTACATTTTGTGCAGCACTATTATAAAAAAGTTCTCCCTTTCTTAAATCCTCCTGACTACCATATGTGGTTTCAAACAGACTTATTTTGTGAAAATGCTTGCTGTTAACAAAGGTGGAAAATGATAAAAGGGAAGAAGCCTGAGGAATCATGCTCAATTGAACACTGGGGAGGCTGCTAACACGAGGCTCTGGCACTTCTGCCAACATGAGTTAGCCTTACAGGACGCTGCAGCGTTGATTAAGAGACAGGATGGGAATAGGTTTCAGCTCTGTTCAGAGTGCAGCAGGTGCAGCCAGGGATGAGCCAAAGAGATGACAATGTTGATCAGCTCCCAGTTTGTACACTGCAAAAATAGTTTACATTAAAAACGTATTTACTTTTTACATTTCATGTTTTATGAAATCCATTTAAAATACAGCCAGGCCCAGTCAAATAATATGAACTGTGTATATTTATCTATACAAGTGATATAATTTGTATCAATGGCACGTTGGGTATTTAGGATAATTGCCACAATACCATACGCCAACTCTGTCTCCGTCTGCAGTTGTAGTGTGTAGTGCTGACACTGTAAAACTTTTATTTAGTGAAAACCCTGCGGCAGTGGCTAAATTTGGCGGTGTCCAAATTATGGTGCAGGAGAATGCACACTATGAACACCAGTGCTATAGTTTGCATTCTATGAACATCAGTGAAGCACTGTAACAACCCTAGCCCTGTCTGATGAACATTTACCTAAAGTAAAACTGATTGTGATTAAACTGCTCTAGATGACCAGACGTTTATCTTTTGACAACACTGCACGAGGGTGCACAATCCCAGCACAGTTCTGCCTTATGATTGTTTTTCTTTTTTCAACTCATCAGAGTTGAAAAGTCCGGCCCCGTTCAAAATTCCCGAGCCAAAAAGTGATCCCAGCACGTCATAGATGCGGGTTTTTTTACATCTCAGATACTTACTTGAAAATACAATGCCCTCTGAATTGTCTTTGCACTTCAAAATTACTGGAGCAAAACATCCCCATGATTATTTTACCTTTGCTGTACTTTTGCTGTAATTTATTAATTATATGATACACCTCAAAGCATGGTTTGAACTTTAACTAAACTATATAAGAACAACTACAGCAAATACATTACAATAAATTGCTACGCTATTTTATATAGAATTTTATGCAGTGCAGAAGCTCAGAGAGATTCTCTGGAGAAGCATGTGGGCCGAACTGATGTAAGGGAGATTTTTCCTCTCCACTTTTCACTGTAACAACCTCCCTGAGCATTTCATAGCTGCATATGCTGCTGCTTAAAGCACCACTGAGATTTATGCCGTTGTCAGCTCACAAGGGTGCAATCAGGAATAAAGATCCCATAAACCCCTCTGATGTGTCCACAGGTACAGCAAGACTAGGTTATTGCTGATGGCATATAAAAACCATGTAACATTGGGTTCGCTACTTTTCCCACTTGCTCATAGGTGCATACACTAATATGCTTGAGCCTCCTGGATTATTTGAATTGTATCAAAACAAAATAACAAGTAATAATGAGATTGATCAGGCCAAAGGTGCTGACCTGTGCCATGATTGTGATCAACTGATAAGCAGAAAAGGATTGCTGCCTCCCAGCAACATGTGTCACACTCCAGCCCTAAATCCAACGTAAAACATTGTGGTAAGATCTAAAAATGCAGTTTCTCAAACTCTCCATCTAATGTCGCAGATGCTGGAGCTGTTTTGCCAATAAAATAATGGTTTCTAGTAGTACAAACTGGTAGAGACATGCCCCATGAGACTTGTGTCTGTCATAGAGCAGATATCACTATTGTCTCAGGGGGCTGCTGAATACTTGCAAGCCTCCATCAGTTTTGTTTGTTGTCGTAATGAGATACAATATAGAAAAGTTCACGTGACCTGAATACCTTTTTGTTGAAAATAGGCTTGAGTAGTTAAAAAAGCATGCACAAAAACACTTTATACTCTCTTTGTTTAAACTCAAAGTAATGCTGATTTCCTCTGGGTGACTGGTTGCCAGGAGTGTGTTGTGGTGGACTGTGCATTTGTGTTTGGGATGTTTGTCCACTCGTGAAGTCCAGCCAGGTTGGCATCTCCAGTGTTTTGTGTTCTTGCTGGGGCTATGCACAAATGTGTGTGACTGCAATTGTACACTTTACGCTGCTGGCTTTGTGTGTCTGTGTGTACATACACACCGGGCTACCACTCAATAGGTTACATAAGTGTATGCAGGCCCTGTGGGGGCACAGACTTCAGCGTCCAGCTGCCGTGTGCTCGCCTGCTTGGAGCTTTCCACTTCTATGAAAGCATTAACTTTCTTTATCTGCTTCTACACCTGTGCTTTCTGAGTTTTAATTGATTTATTTGTTCTTCAGATAAACTAGAGTGACTAACAGGGCTTTGCTATATAAAAAAAATGGCGGCTGAAACAATTTACTTTTTCATTCTGTACTTTCATGGTGAACTTGTCAGGTTATACGGATAGCCTGATAGTATCTACTCAATCCATCACGGTTCAAGTATGTGGTCAAACTACAGTGTTTGAAATAAAATGTCTGGCTCTCTACATGCCTGCAGTTTGATGACTGATGGAAAAAAGTATTTGCGTGAAGGCCGAAGTATGAAAGGTGTCTTGCTGATGTCTGTGCGAGATTGCTCGGTGGTAATCAAAGAGGTGGCACAGTGTCATACACATCCGCGGGCTGTTTTTCCCTCCCAGGGACGGAGCCGAGTTGCTGGGCGATGGCTCGGACATCTTGGCGCATTCAGGCTGCACTTCTCCCCCCCCTCAGCGTCCCTCCACCCCCTCTGGGCATCTCAAGGGCCGTCTATCCCACTTCATCGCATCAGGCCACAGAGACAGCTCTTCCTCGCCTTCCCCATCAATTCCCAAGCTGGCCGCAGCTTCTGCATCGTCTCCTGCATCCTCGGCCAGTCAGCAGCTGCCCGACAATGCCAGCACTGACAATCGCTTATCCTGCTGTCTTCAAGTCTGTCAACCCTGGGCCTGTCAAATTAATGTCACAGTAAACAGCCAGGGAGGGAGTGTCGAAGAGGTGATAGGGATGGAGTGAGGATAGAGCGGGCTGGACTACTCCTGTGGATGGGTTAGGATAGAAGTGGTTTGGCTCACAATGGTACACTTGTGACATATATATCACTGTGACCCTATCTTCCTTCTGATTCTGCTCCCTCCTCTCCGCCTCCCCTCAGCCACCTTTTCCTCATCTTTCTCCCAGGTAATTCCCTCAGTCACATCAGTCCTACTCATCCCTCACGGTGCTTTAGGGTGACACACATGTTCTGTCTCCATCCCCAGTAGTCTCAAAGCACTAGCTCAACACCACTTGGATTCAAAAAAATAAAAGAGAGAAGAAAAAGTAATGGGCAGAAAAATGAAATGACTTTCTGGGCCCTCACGTAAAGCGCGGCTCACTCCTCGAGACAGGCAATATTCCCTCAATTATTGCCACTCATAGAAGCCTTGCCAGTGGATAAAGTTTTAATTCCAGGCTGCCAATAAAATGGATGCTCATGACATAATGTGGTAATAACTTGGGGCCGCTTTGGAATTTGCATGACCATTGGTTTGGCATGCTTATAAACACAAGCATAAAACACATACAGTAGTTATATTAACAACCACAAACCCTAAAAGAAATGATTTTATGTGGTGTATTCCATATATTCTTCTTTTGAACACATCCCCTATGCTGCTAGCACTGACTATTCTCATTATCATTTTTTTAATAATGGTTTAAACTAACATTTGTTTTTAATATCCCACATTCTTCAGAGGTAATATTCGAGGAATGGTAAATGGTACTTTTCCAGGGATTTATAAAACTGAAGTTTGGAACGATCTTTGAACGTGGAAGTCATTTGCCATAGTGCCTAACCTGAGGCACTTAGATGTGTGATTGGTCAGGGGAGGGGCCCTGCTGTGCTTAGATATGTGCTCAGATAATTGGTTGAGAGAATTGGGAGTCGTCAGTAGCCACTCAAAAGGAAATGGGACCAGTCAGCCGCGCTTAAGTGCCATTTTAACATTGTCATTTTTTCTGCCTTTTAATTGCCATCAGACTTTGAGGGCATCGAAGTTTCCTTGGCTTTTACTGCCTGACACGCAGTCATTTTGGACATTATTTGCAAAGGCACAATGCCGCAATATTAATTATAGTTTGCAAAAATATTCAAACCTTTAAAGAAAATAAATAAATAATGGATAGATTCTCAAATAGCTCTTTCATATTATTGAACAACTGACTGTTTTGTACTTTTGACACTCCTCTTGCTAATGAAAATGTATTTTTTTTACACTATGAATGCTACACATCATTTCAGGTTTTTTACAGAATTCTTAATGTTATTCTTTGCTTTTAACAAAAAGTGAAATGCATTTGTGGAAATCTGTCTTGGATTTACTCAGGGCATTACACGCGAAGAATTAATCTATCAAAATGAGTGATAAAATGTGAAGTAATTTTCTTTTTTAAGAAACTGCCTAAAACGTATATACTGCACTGATTAGACCTATGTCTCACACATAACATTGCTAACAAACAAAAGAAATAGTCAAATACTTCTGACACACTTGAACAAACACAGAACTGAAGTTTTGTGTTTTTCATAGCGAGCAGGAGAATAGCGTCAGCTTTGTCTCGGGCGGAGCTGCATGACTGGGAATCGATAGGTTTAACCAGCGGGGGCTTGGGAGTGCAGAGCAGGAAGGAGCCCAGGCAGGAGGTTATGGAGCTGGGCAGAACACACTGGAAATGCTTTATCACCAGCAGCAGCAGGAACAGCAGCAAAAGCAGCAAGGCACTGTCTCCCATCAGGGAAGCGGGAGGCTTAGGGGCTTGTAAAGACATGTGCACAGAGAGAGCTATGACAAATTGCATCATTCAGGGTCTTCCACTTGCATGCTGATATTGTTTGATACAGTTGTGAAAAACTCATGGGAGCTGCCCTGATGTCCCTCGCTGAGCAAGGTTCATGTGAACTTATAAAAGATAATATAAACCAGGGAAGTTTTTTCAGATTGACACAGTGTTGGAGTTATTTCAAAATAACACCTGTTATGATTGGATTCAAAGATGAGACTTAAAGCTGGGGTACCTAACTTTCAAACCACAAAAGAAAAAGTATGTAATACAATGCATGTCTGTAGATACTTGCATTACATTTTGTTTCTTTTGTCTCTGTGACTTCGACGTTTACAGACAGAAAAGTGAAAAAGAAAAGACTACCCTTTTACAGCTTTGGGTATAAAAAAGTAATTTAAGGGCACGGTCACATAGGTTTTCACAAACAAACTAGGCCAAGTTGCCCGGATCGTTGCCTCAGGGTTGTGAAGATGGCCCGCGGTCACAAGGGATTATTTTTTCAACCGTGCCAGCCCAAAAGGGCTGTAGTACATTACAAACTTCAGCGACTACCTTGTTGTCCTAGGTAAGTTTCCGTTTCCCTTCCTGTTTACACTCGGCTACTGTGGCCAACAGCCATGGATCTATTATAGCGTGAGCATGGATAATGTTCTTTCAATCAGAGTCAACGTATACAAGTGTGAGATGTGTCTTTCTCCAGCAGCTTAGTGGATAACATGTGTCTGTGTCGGCCTTCTTTAACCGGGCTTTAGGTTGTGCATGTGACCACAGCCTAAAATTATGAAAACAGCATGTTCTGGTATAATTTGTTCAGAAAATGTTACTTTTATAACACTCTGGGGGGACTTCTGAGGCCTTGCCAGCTGAGAGGCATCTGCCCTCCAACGTGTCCTAGGTGTTCTCCACCCACCTGGGGAGGGTAAGGCACATTTTTTCTGGTCGAGACCCATAGAACTTGAATTTGGAGGATACTGGACGGTCCTCAGCAAAGAACCCTAGACCTCGTTCTCCTGTATCTTAATGTGGAGGCCGAGGAGAGTGATCCCACGACAATTGAAAGTTGGAACACACCCTCCGACCCCTCTTTCTGAAGAGAGGTCTGCCACTCCATTGGCAATGTGAGTGGCAGAGATTTTAGATAGTCAGGACGGATCTCATCATCACCAGGGGCCTTGCCACCAAGTAGGCAAGTGACTTCAGCAAGAAAGATGGAAGTATCTGTCCCAAGATCTTCAGCCTGCCTTCAAATCAGAGGACGTGACGAGGCGATTAATAATTAATTACTATTAAGAATATCCAAACAAGTCCAACCTAAACTAACTCAGAGAAAAAACAGCATCCAAATGCAAAAAACGTTTAGAGGATAACTAATAGAAGTTAAACAAAAGTCCATCAGAAGTATGCTTTATCTTAACAAAAGCAGAATGTAGAGCTGATGATTGATCCAACATAAAATTGGGGCCCAAACAGGATTTACAACTGCTCCAAGAACATAATGTATTCCGCAGATGGTTCCCCGTGCTGCACTTTGAGAAGCAGTGATTTAAAGTGCACAGTAGTGAGAAGCTAAAATGTTATATTCGACAGGTTGGCCGACCCTTTTCCTTTGGCACATTTGCCCCAAGACAAAAATGTATTATCATTCCTCTCACAGCACTATTTGGATCAAAGAAAGAGGTTTCATTGGTGGAGTGAAGAGATGAGGGGAGACAAGGTGAGCCTAGGAGACAGGGAACAGCGGAGCATTAAAGGATGTGCTGAAAAAGGTGAATATGAGGCCCACACGAGAGAGAAAGCATCGGAGGCGAGAGGAAAGATGCTGACTTGTCACACCCAAGGCAAGAACATCGGCTGGATCAAGGTGATGGAGTGCAGCGGGGTATGTCTGTGGGTCACAACAAAATTCTAACTTTCATTCATTCTGTGTCGCAGTGCAAAGCTGCTAAAACGCCTACATGAAAACTGCATGGGAACAATCAAATAGCCTTCAGTGTAGTGTAGATGTGTGATAAAGTTTTAGTTTGTTGGTGCATGTTCACACTGGTTGGTTTGGTTCATTTTAACTGGACTAATTCTGATACGCTTGGGGCAAAAATGGGTTTATTTGTGGATAAACCCACCAAACAAATGAACATGATTCAAATAGTAACTTAAGACTGTTTGCATATTTGCATATTCAAACCAAGTGAACCAGATGTTTCATAACTTTCTCACAGCAACAGAAAACAATGTACTTATTTTAGACATATTCATATTCGCTTTCTTGTTCTGTTCAGCACTTTGAATTGCCTTGTGTATGAATTGTGCTATACAAATAAACTTGCCTTGCCTTGCCTTGCCTTGCCTTGCCTTAGACAGTGAGATGGTTTTGGGAGGGAAGGAAATGAAGATGAGTTGGAGATTCACAATTCAGTTGGAATGGTCACAGTATGTGTACTTAATGCTGGAATGTTGTCTGTTTTCTTTTGGTATGGGGTGACTTTTATTTTTACAGGAGCAGTGTACAATAATAAAAACCCTAAGGGAGAGACGCATCATACCAAGAGAATATCTTCTTTAACACCTGTAGTCAGCTGGTCATCTCCATAGAAATATGTGATCCATACCTTTTTGTTTAATTATTGAATTTAAGGTTGTTTGCATTCATCAAAATGCTCGTGTATAAAGCAGGAATGAACGTCTGTAAGACTTTGGGAGCGTTCACACTTGTTGGTCTGATTCATTTTATCCGGACCGAGTCTTGTCACTAGGGACACGGATCTGTTTCAAAACATGTGAACGAAGTTAATGGAATCGTATGTAATATGCACTCTGAGTTGTCAAATAGAATCACTGCAGTTACAATCCAACTTTTGTTGTAGAATGTGCATGACACATGTTGCTTCCACGCAGTGATTACTGATGTATTCCACCTGTTGGGGTTCAACAGTAAAAACTGTGTTACTGTACTTATGACTAGTTATTTTTGTGCCATCTTTTATTTAAACAGATGTGATACGTTTTTTTTGTGAATTGTGTAATATATTTTTAAAAGATAAGAGCCAAAACCAGATAAATGTCACCCAACAAAATGTCAGGCAAAATGAAATGAAACAAGAAAATGTCAAATTGACCTAATGTCTGTAGACACACAACACTTTTTTATTTCAAATAAGAATATCACACACTGTATCGGTAAGTGACGAGCA